ATGTACCATGAAAACATTGGCAATAACAAATACAATATCAACAAAAATCATGTTTCTTACTCTGTTGCAGGTGAGACATTGTACAGAGCTCTGAACTCTTCCATCAAACAGATCTGTGATGATACTTCGATAGTTAGATGTTTTCTTGATCACCTCTGTGGTTTAATAACAAAATGATTATAAATCCTTACTGTAAAATCTGCAGTTCTTCTTGAGCTTACATGTATAGAGTATGAAAATAAATTCAAAATAAAGTGCCTGTATAAACATAATTCGTGCTACATTTTCACTACAAAATTCCAGACCTTTTACAAAAATGCGATTAGCCACATTTCAATACAAAAGCTAACAAGCAACATGTCAATTTTATGAGATTCAAGGAGTTTTTCAGGAGTTTCAGCAATGTTTCCCATTGAAACTCCCTTGAAAACAAGTTTTTAATTCCAGGACTTTTCAAGAATAGCACGAACCCTGATAAATCTTATGTCTTTAATATCATACTTTTGTTTGCCTATAAGTTTGTTTGTCTACATGTACTTCATATACAAATACACAGCTAGACATCAATGGTTACCCAAACATGACAATCTCTCTACACAGGAAATCCACAATACTAAAAATCAGACACAATATCGATTGCCAGCAATTAAAAAAATATCATTTCTCTGGCATACCAACCTGCATGTGGTACATCAACATCCATAGCAGAATGGCCACCATGATCTATGCCCTTCTGCGCACTTTGAGGGATCTTGTCATGGAAGCTCATTCCTCTATTGACGTCGTCAACACTTCCAGAGCATTCTCCGTTTGAATATAATTTATTATTAGTRAGTTTTGTTGAAGGAGAAACCTCTTCATCTTCCATTTCGATATCGATTTGAACATCAGAGGTGTCAAGAACGGKACTTGATCTCCGTCTGTCTAACGGCATGGTGTTGTGTTGATCATCACTGCTCTCAAAGGACATATCTAAATCATCTGAGAAAAGCAATTAATGAAAGAATTATTAAAATTTATTGTTAGATACATGTAAATGAGCATGGTATACTGTATGCATAAACACAAGGAATTGAAAATAAGAAAAATGTACTAACTAGTAGTTTCCAGTGCCTGTCCACCAAGTAATCTCTTTGCCTGGTGACTAGGCTCATCGCTCTCATCTGATGTATCACACGATGGAGTACAGTATGCCATGACGGGCTGCTTGAGCTCCTCGTGCAGTCTATCCATAATACAGCGCAAAAACTCCTGTGCATCCTACAGTAAGATTGAAACATTTTTAAACCTATAATGTATATAATATCAAAGAGGCAAGATTTTGCTGTAACTCCAAGTTTCGTGCTACGCACTCATCAGACAGTATTTAATCTAAATTAAATTTAAATTTAAGATTAAATACTGTCTGATGAGTGCGTAGCACGAAACTCGGAGTTACAGCAAAATCTTGCCTCTTTGATATTACTGTATATATATAACTAGCTCTACACTTTATGTGTATTGAGCACTCTTTAATGGGATCAGCTACTTCCTCATACAATTAAACCTATAATGTGATATTTTTTTAAAAATTCAGTGTCATTTGCATTGTATTTTTAATCTACTGTTATTTGGATATAACATAATGCTATACATTAAGTTGTCATTGGATTCGATAAACCTCATGTTCCTTCCTTACCTGTTGCCCATATCCTCTGAACTGCGAATTTACACTTCTAACACTCCTTAATAATTGTGATGGTACAAAGGACTTGGGTCTAAACAGATAAAAAATTAGTTATTTGGTGAAATGTGTCATAGAAAGGCTGTTCACAAAGAGTGATTTCATTTGTATGTGGGTGAGGTGAGCAATGTACATGCCTTTGAGGACAAAAAAATAAATAAATAAAATAAAACCACATGTCTCTAAACTTGATTAAAAAGCAACAAAAGTGTGCATTACATTGCAAAAATTTTAGGCTATTTTAACTAATATGGATATCTAGTTAATAAGTGAATTTTGCACCTTTTTCTAGACCAGATTTCATGGATTAAATGATAGAAGTTAGTGGACACACTTGGGTGTTTATTTTCTCCAACCATTGCACTACAGTCCAGGAAATACTGCATCACGGGAGGACTGTAAAAAAGTTACAAAAAATATGTATTTTAGTTAATATGATTGTAAATAATACCATAATCACAACATGTACATTGTACAGTCATGACAGAATCATAACCCTAGGTTTCAGAATAAAGAATTACAGAAAGCATAAGAATATGTACCAGTTTGATAATGCTTGCAAAGCTGCATTCATGTAGCAAGTGTTACCGATGTTTGTCAATCCGCACAGCCCTAGCAATAACAACAAAGTAATTAAATACTGTATCATCAGAATCAGTTCTGACAATATACTTATATAATGTAGATAAAGATCAAAAATGACAGAAAATCAAGAGATTTTGACAGGGCAGGGCACAAGAATCATTTACCTCTGGGTTTTAGGCCTTGTTCTAAGTCAAGGAAGTCATCTTCATCTAGAATATCGTGGTGGTGTGTCTATATGAAAGAAATTGCTGTAATCTTTGCAGCAAATACAGTTATCTGAATGAATTCACCATATCAGCCAACCAACCAACCAACCAACCAACCAATCAATCCATCAACCCACCAATCAATCAATTAATCAATCAATCAAACAATCAAACAATCAATGATGGAATCACTTTATCAATCAATCAGTCAAATAATGATTGAATCAATTAATCAATCAACCAATCAATAAATCAATCAATGATGGAATCACTTTATCAATCAATCAGTCAATCAACCAAATGATTGAATCAATTCATCAACCAACCAACCAACCAACCAATAAATCAATCTATGATGGAATCACTTTATCAATCAATCAATCAACCAACCAACCAAATAATGATTGAATCAATTATTCAATCAACCAATGATTGGATCACTTTATCAATCAATCAATCAATCAACCAAATGATTGAATCAGTGAATCATTTTGTCAACCAATCAAGCCTTGATATTGCTATAATAAATAATCTAGATCTCTATACCTTGTGACTAGCTATTCCCTTATTACCATGGGACTCTAGCTCATCTGGTGTTGGCATGTCAACAGTAGTTTGACATGTGAAGCACCAGATACTGTACGTTTGTAGATTAATACACAAATGATGGTCAGTTTCCTGGAATTAAATTGGTAAAATGTCAAATGATGGAAGGATATAAAATCGTACCTGTACTCACCTAGTACTATTATGCATTCAACCATACTGCACTCTCAGTGGTTTAAAAGTAAAATCTTACAATACTAACCTGGTTATGGAGCTCAATGTGATTTTTGTTGCATTTACCACATCCAACATATGAACAACAGTCCTAAAGAATAACAAATGTTAGTTAATGGTATCCCTGTGTTATTTACATTAGAGCATAGACTGGAAACTACTGCAAATTGTCCTAGGACTAGATATTGGTAACTCATTCAGTAAACTCTGGCTAACTACTCTAGAAATAATAGTTTATATTTTTAATACACATATTTTCGACAATTACCTGAAGACAAGCCCATAAATCGTTTCCTTGAGTAGAACATTTGCTACACGAACCCTGAAAATAACACAATTACATATTTTAGAACAGTTCATACGTTGAGCCAGCATCGCGCCAAACCAAATAGTTTAAAATTAGTAAATGAACAGCTCAAAGTATGAATCAATCGAGTTTGGCACAACTGTAGCACGGCAATTGCACAGCAGTGTCAGTCATGCTGCATAGCAAAAGTTCAATGCTGATTCAAATGTCAAGCTATCGTTGTGTGGAACTTAACGCAAAAAATATCTTTTTTCAAGAATAATAATGGATATGAATTATGTGCTATCTTCTTATGCTTTTAACTGCATTTGGTTTGTTGTACAGTGTATGAATCAACACCATACCGGATGCATTTGGGTCGACCCCAATTGAATATTTGGTTCAGCGCGATGCTGGCTCAACGTTTGAACCAGGACTTAGAATATACTGAATTCATGAGTTAATTTGCAACTACATAACCCAAAATCCCCTGCCATGTTGCGTGAATGAACAAGGGAAACTACTGTAAAAGCCCTTTGCTACACATTTTCATCCTCATGATGGCGATGACATACATGTAACATGAAACCAAAGTATARTATCAATTATTATTATATTTATTCATAAATTTGCCTTAAGGTAGTATCCGAATACTAAGACACTGCACAGCACGGAAATGGTAATGCACCTATCAATGTTAAGCCCGAGGGGGGGGACCTCGGGATGAAGAGGGGACTTTGACGATGCTTTTGTGCCCAGGGAGGGGACTTTTGATAAACTTTGATTTCGAATTTTCCCGAGGTGGGGATCCTGTTTTGGAAATGTTCGTGAGGTACTGGGCACTAGTTGCTTGTAGCGTGGTCAGCGTGGTACGTTAAGCCGCTATACAATGTGAGAAAAGTTAGTTCTTTAGCTAAAAATATTTACTTTACTGTATTATTAAAACTCTAAAGTGTTTTCAAACATTTTAAGTCTATTCAAACTACAGAATTAGCATTGTTTTTTGACTGTTTTTAAAGCATTTTAGATGAATTTTATTGTCATTGCGTATTGGAGCGTGCCGTGTCATAAATAACAGTTATTGTTGTGTATTATCATTTTATTTTATTCTTCTATTCTTAGATAAGTACTAGCCCCAGGGTGGGGAAGGTTTGATCTTATTCTTTTGCCCATGGTAGGGGTCATTTGACACCGAAAATTGATTTTTTTTCAAAGTCCCCACCCCATCCCGAGGTCCCCCCCCCTCGGGCTTAACATTGATAGGTGCATAAGAATATGACAATAATATGTGTATCAAGATTGCATCCAGAAAAAAACTAGTGTTACATTCATTTGCACACCAATAACAACATCTGATTCAGTTTTCTCCTTTCGCCAGAGTACACTACATTGCTTAAAGCTTAAGCTTAAATCAAAATTTTTTTTCTACATGTACTTGAGAGAAGTGATCCTTTTCGCAGTGTATGTTTTCTAGGTATATTGGGGAGTGTGTAAAGTGTGGAAGAATGAACATTCTAGCTTTAAGGATTAAAATTATTTATTTCTTCTAATCAATAAGACAAAGTAACAATTTTTAAGCACTCGTCGCTTTACCTGTGCTCGCATTTTAAGGTCAGCAGCGAATATTCTTTGCATAAACACTCGATGAGGGCAAGGCATAGTCACTGCTCGATGATACTTGTTAAGACAACAAATCATCCAAGCCCAACAACTCAGTTAGTTACGCGRCCAAAGGAATGATTTCTTTCTTCAATGAATCAAAAGCGATTTTCACTTTTGACGTTGGCTCGTCTGATCAAGGCCATCCATTTCATCCATTCAAAAGTTTACCCCCATTTAGTTCAACTTCTGTTAAATRTTTTYCCACCAACGCCTTGAACCATAGCCATGACATTCAACGGTTATCTTTCAGTGATTATATAACTCAAATACGACTGAAATAAATAGCGTTTTTTCTCTTCCTTGTCCTAGTAACTCAAAATGGCGACGGTCGGCTTCGAGCCCGCGATATTTTTGGATTAGTCGGGAGAGACTGGGAATATTAAACAGGAATCCCGTTTGTTATTTTATCTTTTATTTCAATTAGGTCGTTACGAAGCGTTAAATTACAACAAAAATGAATTATTCAAAGAATAATGACTCCCAGTTGATTATAAKATCCGTTTGCAAAATTCACTGAAAATTGTAAAATGGTTCGAGCTCATAATGACCTATTTTTAGTTTATCTTTGGAGCAAATTAAGGGACATTGTGTTCATAAATTAAGGGGCGTCAAAACGTGGTCCGTTCCTTCCAGTACACCTTACTGAGCCCCCAAACTCTCAGTCTGACAGCGATTTTGTCAGTACCAGCATTTGAGCTTTCCAGAGACTTGGTGAAAACCTTCCATGACATACAAATCCGGCAGTGGGAACTAGTTCTTTTATTATCCATGTTTTAACACACAAACTCACTCGGGGGATGGGAAAGAAATCGTTATTCAGATATTTGTATAACAATTATATAATTTAATCCAAGCGGCAAGTTCCGCGTAAACAKGATCAGAAGCAGGAAATGCGTCAACAATGTAGTTAAAAGAGAATGCTTCCATTTCAATTGCTTATCAAATTAATGTATTTATAGTTGCGCACTTAACCATCCGATAACTGAACAGACCTCTACCATAAACAACTAATTTGGTATCAAAAGCAAACGATCCCAGAGGGTACGTAAAAATAATTTAATCTTGAAACGGCTGGTAGTTGTCTATAAACAACGCAACCCACGACGAATGATGGCTAGTGCGCAGAATAACAGCGTTCAAAATCTAACCTATGTCCGCAATCTCCTTCCTAAGGAAGTTTTGATATGCCTGAGCGTTGTCATTGGTGTTATTTGTATTCTCGGGATCATCTTGAATTTACTGATTCTTCGCGTTACTAAAGAAAAGAAAGCTTACACTGGGYCAGACGAGAGACAAAGAAAAAACTCTCTTGTTTATTAYTTTCTTTGGAACCTCGCGTTCTCGGATCTATTGAGCTTGATWATCGGTATCCCTTTGGTTGTTGGTCAAAGTCGGTATTTTCCGATCATCGCCAAACCGAGTGATGCCACGTGTCGTTTGGTACGTGCAGCCCAACATCTTCCAATGGTGACTATCTACATCATCACAACAATGTGTTTAGAGAGATATTTCTCCTTAGTGCGCCCTTTCAATCCACTTTCACCGAAGATTTTTCGCAGGTTGATTAAATTGTGCTGGGTTACTGGATTTTTGGTTTCGATAATGTTTTCCACGACATTCAAAAGTAAGCAGATTATTCTTACCAACACGACTTTTACTTTCGACTGTATCCTTGAAAGTRAAAGCGATCAAAAAATCATGTTTTTTGTTGTTGCCGGTGTAAGCAYAGCTRCTCCCTGCATCTTCATCATCTACTCGACGTTGCATTGYATCATAAAGTTGAACTCCCTGCAGCCGTTACCAGGATTGCAGCAATCTTCAAATGATCACTTAGCCAATGAGGAAGACGTTAAAAGACGCTCTACTCTAATGYTATTCATGATTGTATTAACATTTCTGCTATCGTATCTTCCCTACTTTGTCTTTAAGGCTATGAAATCAATCTTTGGTTATAAACTTATCTATCATAATGAAGTGATTGTGAGGTATGYTCTCAGTATCTGTGCATATTCTAATTCTGTATTTGATCCTATTATGTACGCTATCATCATGAAAAGTTTGCGTGGAAGTCTAAAAACCATATTTACAAGAAGAAGAACAACAACACACGATGCCCCAACAGCAGATGGCGAAAACCGCATTACTTGTCGTCAAAGTGATCAGAGCAGACCTGAGATGATTGAAATGAACAAGGTGCGGGTTGAGGCCGTTGCAAATTCTGAAAGTACTGGGTCTTTAAGAGCACAAGGGGGRCAGGAAAGTCAGAATGAAGCCTCAGAGGTGGAGACGGACAATGACGAAAACGCACAGGAACATGGAACAATGAACGTTAAAAACTCATAGCAAAAATCCAGAATATAAGCCGGAAAAAAACTTGACATGAGCTCGCTCCTGCATGTTTTTTTATTGTTTATTTTATTTATTTTATTTTTATATATATTTTTTATTTATTTCTATTTATTTTATTTTTTATTTTTTTATTTATTTCTATTTTTTTCGCGCACCTGTTGTTGATGAGAGCAGACGACGTGATAGTGTGCATGAAATGCTTGGAAGCTGTCGCACCTTTTGCCTGCCGATCATTTCTATTTTTAACGTTTAATAAACTTTCTACTTGTGATATTTGAAGCTTAATTAAACAACCACTATTATCTAGTTTATATTATAAAATTTTAGATGTTTATTTACGATAAATAAAGCATTTTACTACACACTGTCATCGAATAAATTGCACATATATTGAGAAAACATCCGCGCCGGATCCAGGATCCCTTCTTTGTTCACACTKGTCAAAGCCTATAGCTCCTCTCAGAAGCAATGCTAACGAGTGAAAACAATATTAATTGTCAGCACATTGGTCAGAATCACTAGAGCGCGTCAACGTTACCAGTAAGAATGCATACTTTCCTAGAATACCGCCGGACAGATAAAAAGTAACTATAGATTCAATTCATCAACGAGGTTAAAGAGTAAGGTGGRCGGGAAAATGGYGGATTYGTAGGATTTCTTTAAKTGAGCGCGAATTGTGTTCCATCCTTTCAGTTTGGACAGAAATACCTTTAACTAAGTACCTCACAGGAACTATCAATCTATAATCTATTGTATGCTTGACGCATTTAAACAATAACWCGAGTGCGCGCTGCAGCTGATATTCTTRAAAACGATCTCAAAACTGTTATAATTGTTTATGATCTCTCTAGGCTAGACGTCTCTATTCGTGATGAGATCTCTAACAGAGAGCTAATAGCACTGCAAAAAATCGCGCGCGGGGAACCCTGTGAATATGATGGGAATACGACGTAAATTCGATTTACGGGATATTTACATACATTTCCCGCATCGTATTTACAGAGTTCTACTGTAGCAATAATAGCTAGACTGACTAGTCCTTGCTTCAAAATATCATTAGAGTTAACAACATGCATTTTAACTAGTGTAGCTCCTTTCAGAAGAAATTATTCTATCCGAAAACCATGCTTATAGCAAAGGATTAATAAGCTGCAAAGATAATTGGAGAGATTCCTTTGGCCATGCCTCGAGCGCTATCAAGATTGAGTACTGTCAATACTGACTTTAAAACTAAAATGTTAGAGGAGAAATACAAAATAAGAAGATTGGTTTGTTCCTAGAACACTTGTTGTAAAAAAAAGGCTTGTAATGACATATTTTCGACTTTGAAATGCAAAATTTCTAAAATTGATGTCGCAAATGCATTATGCATACATTTCCTTCTCAAAGAAAATTCAAAGCATAACGTTTCATGGTCGTACAACTAAAAAAAACACAATTTTTATATAGAAAATTTCGTTGTAAGATGGAAAAAATGGGAAATGTGAAAAGGGAAAGTTGCGYGTGTKACAAATTCAATGTCAACGTCAACATTGCTTTTCAGGAAAACATAACTAGTGCATAAACCACGACCTAGTTATGATGCCAAGAAGGSCTCTCTTCAGCATGCTCGAATGGATATGAAACGGTTAAACAGAAGAAGAYAACAGTACATTTTGTTGTGTGCAGGTATTAAAGTGTTATCTGACAGATATTTCTTGAGCAGATTCTTGTTTGACTAATGAGAAATCTTCACTCTTTGAACACAAATACAGAATGCCATTTTCGAGTTTAATATTTGTGAGTCAACCCCCAACATCTGCCTTGCTTTATGTTAATTTTCACCTTCATTTAGCAATACTGTGGGTGATAATTAGGGAACTTATTTTRATTAATTTAATGCAATATGAATTGAGAATATCAATCAAGAACGGCGGTCGACTGTTGTTTTTAAGACGCCTTTTGTGGATTAATGGATAAAAAACTTTCGCATAGAGGAACAAAATTAAAGCGATGTTGCCGCCATCTTGGATTAAGGTGTGACGTACTATCACCTTGTTCACTCTTATTCATCTAACTGTAATTTCTAATTTGGCAGAACATTTTAAATTTYAGAGTTTAGTTTAGCACAAGTCCGTTACATCAAGAAAGGTATCGCGCATTTTAAAAGAATGAATTTATTTAACTTTTCTCGCTCAAAGAAGGCAAAAAGACTTGCTTCCTGCATTTTCTCCGTTCCATAAATCCATCCCAAAATGACGGCATTGAATTCCTTTGTTGCAGTACTGAATTTGGCAAAGATATTTCTGGTCATGAAATTTTAGAATTTTTATGTAAAACTGGACAATTTTTTTTAAAAAGAAACAGTTTAAGGCTTATTCTAGTTATAGCCGCCATTTTGAAAACGCTTGTTGAAAAATGTTACTCGGTCTTAATGACACAAAGTACTTCAAAGAAGCTCATCAAAAGCCACATCATTATTTCATGTTTTTACAATAACTGAGTATAAGTGCTGTATTAATTACTCTATTAATGTCCGACCCCTATAAAAACTCACTAAGCCGTTTTCGCTAAAACGTCTATTTAGCTTAGTAGTCTAAAAACAAACAGTTCTTTTTTGTCTCACAATGCTGAGCAAACAAGATCTATTCTTTATTATATAAACAGCAACTAAYATCCATAAACATGACATAGTTATAGAAAATATAAATATTTATCGAAAACTGAGTCCACAATAGGAATTATGCATTGGGGGCGGAATAATCAACATAAWTGTGTCATTCAGTGGAAAAGTCATTCGTTCCTTCATTATGATAAAGAGCATGAGAGTCCAAGTTGATTTCGAGGCAACAAATTTTCTTCACTTGATAATACAATCAGAGTCTTGCTTATTACGAAGTGCAGTGAAACTTTACTTTTAAGAAAGGGAGAAAATTTCTACTTTAAGCCATAACTTACGTTATTTTCCCAAACTTCTTACGCATTTTACTCTTATATATAAACTATAATTAAACTTATTACTTCATTTTTTTCTAAAAAAGTTAAGGGTTTTCTTCATTGTCGACCACCAAATGTTCCTACYGAACCGTCATCGGAATGATTTAACGACATTTGAAAACTGCAAGTATAGCTTTCAAAATCATTGAACACATTTTCGAGTATACCATGTTTTCACTGACCCTTATTGAGCACAAAAACAAATGCTTAACTCAAAAATAATTTCATATGAACAATTGTTGAATATTCAAACTTTTACATTGTTTTACAATTGTAGCAGGTGTATTTGCTTTTGATCCAAGTTTTCAAGATTGCTCAGTGCAATCTACGTTTTAAAATTGGACAAACTAGTTGGGCTATTGTTCATGATGATCTTTCAAAATCATACAAATATTTCAACCCTAAAATTAAGCACAATTTGTTTTATTTTGACGGCAATTTAAATTTTACTAATTAATAATCTCAAAAGTTGTTTTTGTACACAACTTTTGTAATTCAAATTTGTATATTTTGATTGCTAATATTTGCCTTAAGAAATGTCTTCGGCAGTTTGTATCTGTTTAATTTTAACATGTCGGAATTTTATTTGAGGTGATCACAGACCTAACTTGGAATGTTATATCTAATTTTTGAAGCACGCCTGCTGTTTTAAAATAAAACCTTTTTTCAGCGCGGTTGACAAATTTCAATACTTTATTTAAATACAACTAGGGTWTAAATGACATTGAGAATAGGTATATTTTCTGTTCATTTTACGACATTTTCCTTTACATATACAACTGTAGCCACGTAATTGCACACGATGTAAGTGCCTTCAGCAYCGTACTTCACTTTTAAAACACGTCGAGGATTGATTTCTTTTCTTGTCACGTTGTGTCTACTGAATTCATGACTTGTCCAGTTTGAGCAATGTATGTTATATATTTGCATTTATATGCCTACAAAATAAATAGCTATAACATATTCCTCCTTGAGCTCACATACAATGCGCAGTTCCTAAAACTTTGTAATTCGATTAAATAAAATCTTCAACTTTCTGTACAGTGAATTAGCGCAAGGAAAATGTCTTTTTGGCGGCCATCTTAAAGGAGTCAGTCCTCCACATGTAGATGCATGGATTCAGCGAACAACTGAAAAACAGCAAAGTAAAAAGCCAGTCTTTTCTGACTTCGTTCACGTTGTAATCTGGGTGAAAGTCATAAACAGTGTCCGGGAAAAAACATACCATYARAGAAAGCACTATCAAGAGGGTTGTCTTTGTCGCTCGGTTGGCTTTTTGCAGGCGYACTTGACGATGATTGTGGATGACAGACTGCATTTGAATGTTGATCTGTCTTTGCTGTTTTCTTGCGATCCAAAAAATTCTAACATAGCAWGWTAGAAAAGCTACAATGATCCCAATGTGGGAATACGGTGAGAAGTACTTTTCGCCTATAGGAGTCAAAATAAATACAGCGAGACAGATCGAGGAAATCCATATRAAACAKATCACCATCAGAATCTTGAATTTTGAAAAGAAGAAGGTATTTGTAAAGGGATTCGTGATGGCGAGCATGCGATTGATTGCAATGCAAAGAAGATTCAATGCTACTGCATGCATTGTTATCATACTMAGATATAAAAATGCTTGTTCAAAATTCTTTGCCTCTTCCGGATTGTCATCGAATGGTCTGTTCAACACAACAACGTACATTGGCTGCGCAAAGAAGCACACCGCCAGATCAGCGAAGCAAAGGTTACCAATAAGTAGATCTAAACCATTTTGAAGCTCTTCGTTTTTAATAATCACAACAAAGACCAAAAAATTGAGAACCGTCCCAAATATTGCTAAAATCCCATTCAAAGCGCTGAGTGCTTGTCTTGTTTCGTGAGAAGTGGAAGAAATATTCATTTTGTTTCTTTTTTTGGTGAGCCTTTCCTTAAGATAAAGCGACCAAATGACTAATAGTCCAGCAGAGCAAATCTGGAAACGTCCTCAGATTGCAGATTGAATAACGATTTCGCTGAGTGATTGATCCGTACTAGTCCTTCTTACTTTTCCTATTTCATTATTTCAYAATGARTTTTCATCCGAACATGAGTACAATACGGATTTGTTTTTGACGTATTTTTACACATTTGAAAGGCAGCTAATCTCATTAGCTCTACATATCAAAGTACCAGTGAACTCACGTAACGGYTATGACAAGTGAATATAGGGCTGAGAATCTTATAAAGTCATTACACACTGCGCGAAAATTGCCACCGCAAAGCTTATTTCTGTGTAGTTACACTAAATAATGTCTAGAACTCGTACCCGAATAGACTTATAAAGGGTGAAAATCGGTTACCAAATTAACGAAATCGCGCACTGTTTTTTGCGAGTCTCRCACCCTAATTATTTTATTGCCATGGTTACTATGTAAACACAAAATGTTTACGACGAGATGTTTTAATGAAGAAGACCTCATTYATTTTTAATCACATTGCGATTTGGTTATGAAGGAACGTAAAAGTGAAATAAAATAGTTGGACAATTTACTATKTTTCGTCTTAATATTTAATGTAACTCAATGTGAATGCAATTCAGCGAAAATTGCTTATTATAAAAAATACGATTAGGGAAAATGTAAAAAGAATTTAAGTCGACTTTTCAGATTTTTTTCAGCACTGCAAACGTTTATTTTAGAAGAAAAAATAAGGGTATCTTTGTATAAAGTGAGTGAATTTTGTGAAATGGACTGAATCGGCATTTAAAACTTTGAAAAAAACGGCAAGAGTATACAGTTTCGTTTCATATTTTATTGATGTCAGTAATGCAAAAAAATTGGACATTGCTAAGAGCAGTTTTTAATGAAAATTATGAAAAGGCTTCAAGTTTTGCACTTGAATGGACGCACAAATGAAATCAGTTTATGACATAGACAAGATTATGACAGATAGATTGCAAGAGATTGACTTGTTTTTATAGTTTAAAAGAGTATTTGTTTTTCTTCCAGGCGAACTAAGATGTAGTTATATTTGCTGTAGAGAATTTGATAAGAGCTCCTATAATTGCTTCGACTTGCCGCGAGCGGGCTTTAAAGAACAACTTCGCATATGATACAATCTTTCATTAACATTATACGAGTTCGACATAGAGACAAGAACCGCAAACTCATATTCATATAGCACATTCTCATTTTTTAACAAGAATATTCAACTTCTTTACACTATAAATGAGAACTTTGTTTTGTATTTTTTYCTTGAATTTAACTTCAATTCCTTGGATTTTCAAAAACATATTTATGGAGGTTGTTGTTGTTCTTTCTACAACTGAACAAAGTGACATTTTTTTCTTTTGGCACACAAATCCGTCATATTTCAAGTTAAAAAATTATTAGTAACCCATGTTTAGCTTACACGTTATTGTACTTGTACTAGTAACTGGTTACAGAGTCGATATGCATTGGATATATATCATGAAAAAGTGTCGGGCGACCACTAAATATACAAATAATAAAATTCCTTGTCAACTGTTCACTTTTCTTAACAATCCCAAATTACCTACTTTTCTAAGCGTTAAAATTTCAAATTCTTATTTGGTCTAGTTCCAATATTGTAAACAAGAAATGAAATGTTATTATAAATCTTGCATCTGAACATATTGAACAAAGAGATGGATTAAGTACCTGTTTCTTCCAAATAAAGATAATTGATGATCAAGATAAACTTAGATATCAACTAAAAAGATTGGAATTAATTCATAGATAGCTGATTAGAAGCAAGGATTCAAGCACTGTGCTTGAGGGATTTGTCAAAAACATTTCATTTGTATTGAAATTTCTTTGAATTTCCTGTGCCCAGCCGTTGAACTCCAAAAATTTCAAACTAGATTATTAATTAAGAACCAAATTACCCTAATTTGTTACTAAAGACCATAAAAAGTAGGAAAATCTTATCAGCCTAATTTTAAAAACAGTTTTTTAAGTTTTTATTTGCGGGTTTTTGCTGTATTGCGCCGCGGGTATTTCTAAAGACACCAATATCACTCATACCTCATTAAACTTATTACATTTACAAAAGACACTGATAGCAAACCCAAAATAGTCAATATATTAGGACTTTTAGTAGGGTAATCAAAACTTATCCGTGTACATCCAAAAAGGTAAATCTTTYCATAAAAAMAAYCTTGAAAAAGGTGTGTACTTATGTAGCTTTAGTTTGTACTGCAATCSATGGATCCCAATCGACAATTCAAGATMTCAGTGGTAGTCCTATTCTTGTAGATGGCGAAACTGAGTGTTTTAGTATATATAGTGATACTCCATGGTCATCAATTATCTGTAATACTTACTTAGTGAAAATAAAAGCCATATGAATATTAACTAAGAATAATAAAGCAATCGCACAAGAGGGAAACTAATTAAAAAGAGGAGAAAACCATAAACTTATTGCTCACGGACATGGAAGTTTCAAGTGTTCTCCAACTCCGTGCTTTAGAAATTGAGTSAAGTAATTAGCCACTGCTAGAACGATCTATCTTAACCAATATCTTTCATCCATGCTACTCTAAATTGTTTTGGTCTAGCTGTGAATTAAGAGCTTCCAAAATTTCCTTATCATTTAGTATTAATGAAAAAAGTTTGATTTGTCAAGCTGAGATATTGAAATCCTCTTAAAATAAATACTTCTCAAGTAAATTTGATGGCAATTTCGGTGTCATAAAATTTCAGTTTTCAATGCGGGAAAGACAGATTTTCTCCAAAATATTATTGTGTTCAAAGGAGTCGCTCAAGGTAGGCGGGCAAATTACTTTCTTAATTTCGCCGAACTAAAAGTTCATTCGATCTTATCTCAAATTGGAGAATGAAATATTATAAAAATTGAGAAATCATTAACTTGAGAAATTAGATATAGTTCCATTTATTTCCTTGACTTTCTAACGAACGTAATTAAACGTGGTTTATTCGRATGCGACGCAGAGCTATGCAATGTGCGCCACTGATTTAATTTCGCATGTACCGTAAAATTTCCTTTCATCCGGTTTCATACAAGTAGTTTTTCCTATTTTCTCCTCAATTGCAACATCTAATAGTCTATTTAATTACAGATTCGATGGAAGAGCATTTGTTGTGGGCTGAAAAACAATATCGACGGAACACTGATTGGTCCAGGAATCACAAAACCTGAACGTCAAGGCCGGTGCAACTACTAATGATTATTAGGTATTACTGTTTTTCTAATTTTTCACTAAATTAGTAAGACCTTGTAATCTTATAACAATTGTTCTCTGAAAATTTTATCCCCTCACAGAAKACTGAATATGCATTTTAGTTAATTTTAATAGTTTTCTTGAAACAATCTCTGGCACAAATTTATGGAGTCGCCATCTTGGATTTAGCGAACAGTCAACAACCAAATAGGCGAGTGAAGCTTGTCGTTTTCTTAGAAAAATTTCGTATTAGGTATAAATATGTTTTTCTTTGCAAAAAAGTTTCAAATGAATTTTTTTTATTAAGAATATTTTACTTGTTCATGTTAGAGAACGTTTACGACAAATTCATAATATATAGTTCTATCGTAGTTCTTCATGCTGCTTGTCTGTTTTTATTTCAAAGCATTTTATCTGATTCGACCAGAGTTATTAGAATAATCTAAAGGTCTTAAACGTTTTTATGAAGACATTGCCAGAAATTTGGGTCATTGACCAGCGGTTTTCTTCGGCTCAGATATTGACGATTTTATACGTTAAATACAAAAGATTTGATCAAAACATTTCATTTTCGTTGTACAATTGCGTTATTATTGCGATTTATATTTCAGAATAGCAGAATTAGAAAGTTCCTTTCTATAAATGGACCCATAATGTCGAGAAACACAAAATTCGCCTAATGTTTAGAATTTTACACGGTAAAAAAGCATAAAGACAAACATTTGAACTTAAAAATGGTTGGAAACCCTGTGTACAATCCCAGAAGGCACTGGGAGTTGATATTCAGTAAAATGGCGGTTCAAGAAGGCTTCGTGAGAGAGTTTCTTCATTCAATAATTTCCGACTCAAAGCTGGAAAACAAAATGGCGGTTTATGTACTAGGCAATTATTTGCAATGTTTAGGTTCTTCAGGAAGAAAATTGACGAGCGATTCAGCGTTTTTTTCTGGTGATTTAGACAGTTTAAACACTGTTGTGTTGATTCGAAGTCGCGCACTTACCGTACAGGATATTCTTCTACCTCAAACCGACTGATATGTACATGGATCTTGGACGATTTTAGTGTAAATGTATGAGAGATCTGAAGACTTAAGGACCTATAAAAAAAACTGCCCAGGAAGAAAATCTGCTGTTCATTGTTAACCGTTGTTGCCGTGAGTACAAAGATTGAGCTATACTTTGATCATTTTTAGTCGCGCACCGAGTTAATAATGCTTTGTTTTGTCCACAAATACTGAAATATATTCTTGGCCATACATTTTCTTATACAAATTGGAAGCCATTTTGTTTATTTTTGCACGTTACAACGCATGCGCGTCACCATCTTGACCCAAATTTCTGGCAATGATTTAGCTTTGTAGAAAAGCAATACTGGTCAGTGGTAGCGAGTTTAGAGTTTAACCTTAAATTAGCATAATAATTTACAATACACCTCAAAACCTCAAAAATACACCACGAACAACTTTTTATCAGGTTTAYATGTTTATTCTTGTTATTTAAGCACCTTTACGAAGTAAGATCAATGGATGCTTGTGATTTTCTGAGAAGAAATAAAATTTAATTTACACAGATTAGGTTTTTAYACAGGCATCAAATCTTGTAATTAATATTGCTTGAAATTAAGTAATATTGAGCTTTATCCGCCTCAAAAAAGTAAATGAGTAAATATTCTGAAACGGACTACATTGCCGACCAGCATAGTCCTTATTACGACCCACGGAAAGCGCTATGACGCAACGCATTTTGAGATTGATAAATGAGTAAACAAGGCGACGGGAGCAACGATGTCAGTGCTCCTGTTGTCTTTGACGCAGACACAGTTTTCGAGAAATATTGGGAAATACTATGGACACTTTAGTTAATCTCAGAAGCTTACTACGAAAAAAAAATCAACAAGACACAAGAAATGCAACAAGAAAAACCTCTACAAAATGTACACTCAAAGTTAGTCGAGCATTCCCATTTACTAGGCAAATCAAGTGAAAATGAAAACAAACATATTTTGTCTGTGGACAAACCGAAAATAATTAGTGCTTTTACGATTTTAGCGATTTGTTGATGAAGAARAAAGGGAGATATATCCCATGACACATTGCAAACCGATTCAAAATGGCGGGCTTGTAATATGGACCTATGGCAAACAACAACAACAACAAGCATGGGAAATAGCAACTATCAAAGCACTTATAGAGTTCAAAGCGAACGAAGCTCTTCGATATATRTAGCTATACTAACCAAGTCAAGGCCGACATTGTTTGCAAGTCTTGCTGCATCGTTTCTTTATTTCTGGGTTGACACGACAGAGCCAGCTCATTGATTTACAGTTTGAGGAATTATCGCGACAACCTGAAATGAATTTGAGATAAGAATGTCACGTGACAACATCCATTATATCAGTCCATTTCAATACTTTTCATCAAGGACCGCGGAGAGCAATAAAAAGTATGTGTACATCGTGTGATCGTCAGGGAATGAGAACTGCAAAATGGAAAAGC